AAGGAAATCTATAGTATGGCTGATGGGGAGGGGGCGTGAGGGGGTCGGGGGGTCGTTGTATTTTGAAATAGGCCGCTGCATCATTATCCAGAGATAAATATGACCTCTTTTCTCTATTTCATCCTAGGTGCTGTCTGTGAAGCTTTGCTCCCACACAGATTTCTTCCTTCCTCTCTGTGTCTCATTCAGAGTGCAGCAAAGGCAAGGACGCACACACAAAGGAGGAGTGAAGAAGTGAGAGAAATGAATGACAACAGGGAGGTGTGCTACCCTCGCTCCAGTCTCGACAACGGGTATTCTTGGGGTGATAATACAGATGTGGATGTTATTGCTTGAGAATACGCGTAGTCGGGTGGAAGCTTTGTCGTCTACAGTGGATGAGACGCAGAACACAGTTTGGGAGCTAAGAATTGCTTATACAAGGTATACAGAGGTTTGTTTGTTGTTTTTTTTTTTTTTTTTGGTTATTTTGGCAACCGTTTGACTCTTTGTTCACCCGTGGAGGAAATGAGCTCCAGGCTGGTCATGTGTGGCTCTTTCCATGGTAACAAACCCCCACGAATGGGTTCAGAGGGTCTTAACAGGAGGTTGAAATGATTTAGATTTGAATTCAAAACCCATTTGATTCCATACTCTGGTTTGTCATAACATAAAGATAATCCCGTAATCTTATCATTTATTAAACAATGAACCAATGTATCAAAATAAAATGTTGATTTTTGCAAAACTCTGCAGAACAGATTGCTTTGTTCAGACCATAAGGACAAAGGAGTCGAATGTCTTCATGACCATCCAGATAGTTCTACAGCTTCTTACTACATTATCCATTTTTTCTGCTATGGCAGAATGATCTCGAACAAAAACACCCTTTGCATAAAATGGAAAGATTTTTCTTCAACCTGGCTTAGCTACTCTTACTCTCCTGCTTTTCCAGCCGCGTGCTAAAATACGAGAGAGCAACAAGACTGGACGTGAGAGAACGCCAGTGTTTGTACCAGAGGCTGACATTTCACTTCAGTGTCGGTGTAGTCGACTGGCTCTTATGATAGGGAATGAAACACACACACGTGAACACAAACGCACAAAATCATTTTAATGTCGTTCACCTTATTTCAAATAAAAGATGGAGAGTTTTTATTACGTGACTATCAATGTTAGTGTTGTAAAATACAAACATTTAAATGTTCAACATCTGTTCTTTTTGCCCATTAATTTACATCTTAATCATGTGTTATTCCTTTTTTTTACAACTGTGCAGGCGCAGCTGTCATTCACAAGCATAATGCACAAATCAAATTAATATAAAACGCCACTCTGAGGATGGATTAGCTCGTCCAAATGTAATGTAACAACTTGGATTTTAGGGTGTAGATGTGTGTACATGTATATGTTTGTTTGCTTCTAAGCAACAAAATGACTATTATGAGCACAGCTCCAGGTGCCTAGCAACTAAATGGCTCAGTTACCCTGGTAACTGTTGCCTTGCACTCACTGTGTGGGTGATTGGCAGCCTTGACAACGGAGACAGAGTGACACTTGACCTCGCGAGCTGAATGGGAAGGCAGAAGGAATACGGGGGGAATGAGGAGAGAGAGGGAGAGAGGAGGAGTGGGAGTGGAAATGCAGAGACAGAGGAGACACTAAGTGATAATCATTCTCCACTGTAATCATCCTCCAGCATGTTTCATAAAGCTTCGTCAATACCTCTCCAGCTGGGGTCCATCATCAGACATAATACACACACAGTGCAGTGCATGGATGCACAGACGTGCTCTTCCTGGGTGGAGAGCCCAGGAAGCGAATCTCATCTCGTCTATTATCACTCACATTGTCTGGTGCAGAGCCTGGCTACAGTGTGTCTTCTTTCATTTGTTATCTGCTTCATCCTGCGCTCCGTGGAGATAAATGAATACTGGACTGTGTCAGTGTCACGGATACCACAGCAGAGGAGATCAGAAACCTTACTGAAAAAAAAAACAAATGGTGCAACCTTTTCTGTAATATTGGAACTTCAATTTTTTCTCATTTTATTTAATGGAATTTACACCACAGTCTGTTGGTTCAGAACAAAGAACCTGACAGGAGATCATTTATTTATTTTTGCATTCTTTTATCAAACGTAGTATGTTTGATAAGGCTATAGGCATATGAGGGTTTAGTTTATTGTTATTTTATTTTATTTTTTACAGTATTGACATGCATGCTGTGGCACACCTGCAGCAGTATCCTACAGGAACAAACAGTGTTTAAACACTGTATCTAATCAGCATCAACATCCTGAGCGTCTCATTCCCACACAGGCTCACAGATCATCGTTGGAGTTTGGTGCATCAGCCAAGACAGTTTCACTAACAGGAAAAATGGAAACAAGTGCTGGACGACTTGAGCAGCAGCAGTTCTAGAGTCATTTCCATAACACCAACAACTGGAACACATTTGTACTAATATATTTATAAACAGACAAAGACCTCTGTCATCAACAGTTTCTTCTCCTATTCTATTAAGCAACATTTTGTCATTTTTAACATTGACAATATCAGAAATTCTTAACAGTTTTGGGTTAATAACATTATCTATTGATAATTAAATAATTTAAATATTTTTTAAATAAATATAATTATTTATAATTATGTATGATAATGATAATAATAACAATAATACTATTAATACTACTACTACTAATTATAATCATCACAAAACAACACAGTAGCTACATGTTGCTATGGCTAGCTAAAATAACTAGCTGTATTTTGATTTTGACTCCTTTGAGGCTGCAAACATAGTTTGTGGTCAATTATAACGCACACATACATGCACACACACACACATACACATATATACTGTATATATGTATATATATATATGTGTGTATATATATATTTAGCGAACTGACAAACCAGATCAAGGACAGACCATACACTAACTCCCGTCAAGACACATTGGTTTTCTTTTTTGACTACTTCAGTTTATACATGTACTCTGACAGTGTGTGAAGTCTTTCGGGACCTTGACATCTTTTGATAGATTAGGTCTTATATCTACAAAAGGCAGGGAAAAGCAATAGAGGTTTATTTGTATAGCACTTATTAACAACAAGACATTTCAAATAAACAAAAAAAAAATTAATAGAAAATGTTCAAAGAGGTAAAAAAAAGCAATGTGGAAAAGAAATCAAAGGAAATGAAAGGTTACAGTTGCAGAGCTGAGTGTGGAGGTGCAGCAGGAAATTAACTTTTTCTTTCTTTGTTTTTTTCAAAGGCTGCGGCAAACATGCAGGTTTCAAGGCTGAATTTGAAAGACTGAATAGTTCTAGCAGACGTTTTCTAGAAGTTTGGGGAATAAAAACTGAAAATAGATTCCTCAGGTTTGGTCTTGGTTCTAGGGACACAGCAGGCACGAACCAGATGATCTTACAGTAGTTTTCTGGAGTTGTTTATTTTGGCATGAACCGTGCAGAGGTCTACAGACCAACAGGTGTATTTTAAAATCAATTATTTTTTAAGAAAGTATAAGGAAATAGAACTGGAGTAATGTGATGTGACTTTACACTCAGATTTGTCTGCTCTGTTGGTGCTCTTCCTTTGCTGTGTCGTTTCTCACCTTGGTCCGTGATAAAGAGCATCATCCAAATCAGATCTATTGCAGATTCATGTAATGTTGTGGGGAGGTTTCCTGTCAACTGGTTGTCCAGGCTGTCTTTGATGTGCACTGCCTGCATGGAGGAGGCCAGTCAGCTGCATCATAAATCTCAGAGTGCTCTGCTTTATTGAGTACTTGCCCTCCCATATGTCAGAGAAACAATTTATTCTTCTGTTTTTGCTTCGCTCTTCAAATCTTACATGCCGGGAACACGGCTCTCCTGGTTCTTATATTGCAGCCGTTTCTTTTCAGTATCATGACTCTGTCCTTTTGAGTCCGTGGTAGGGCGGTGTCTTTCCCAAAATGATTATTATTTCACGTTCACTTCTAAACAGTTGGTGTCACCTTCCACCAGAGAGTGAGATGGTGGAATTCTTACTTGGTAAATAAAGGCACTGTGTAGAATGGGTTTGAAGAAGAGACGAAGAGATGAGTGAAGGGGAGAGAAAGCAGGAAAGTAGACTCATTCAAGCCATCGACTATTTCAGTTCTACAACAGTATAAGATGGAAAAATGACCTGTACTTAAATCTCTGATCAAATCATTGAACCACACCCCAAATAGTCTTGATATTGTACAAACACGTTTTAGAGCCGTGGTTCTCAAACTTTATATCCTCTGTACCACCTGAGAAAACACTGATCTCTCTGAGTACCACCATGATGACCAACATTAGAATACAGCAGCAGAGGCCTTCACTGTTAGCTTCCACCACAGGAGAGATGTTTAGAAATGTTTATGTTTAAATGTTGTATTAATTGTGCATGGTATGTTTCAGAGTTATTCAATTGAAAATGTAAATGTGAAAATATGAATTTTCCCCGCGTGCCACTAGAGAGCGCTCACCACACCACAGTTTGAGAACCACTGCTCTACATGATCACTGTTATTGAAATAGGATTATAGATTATAGACATATGATTATTTTTTTAGAGTAATGGACAATGTATATGTTGTGTATATATATATATATATATATATATATATATATATATAAAGAATTAAAAAAGCAACTCAGGATTGGATTTCAACAAATCTATATTAAAATCCCCACACAGCAACATCATTTCATGATTGATGCAAGTCACTTTATAATTATTTATAATTCTAATTTGAATTTGTCCCATGGCTAGGAATCAATTTCAAGGTTTGTCCATCTGTGGTGCAGAGCTATGCCAGGGTTTGCCATTAACAGAGGAGTACCTGACTACGAGATAACACCTTGATAGAGATCTTCACACATTACCTTCAAAAATTGTATCTTTCCACAAAGGGACACGTCTAGACAAGACATTGTCGAGAGTGGGTTATTCAACCCTACCACAATGAAGACTGTCCCTGATAAAATTCAAAACACCAAACGGTTTTCAATATTTTTATTTTATTTTCAGATTCACATTTTGTCTTTGAACAGTTGTACAAGGTCAGTAAAAATAAAAGGATTACCAAAAGTCGTTCTGAATAAATTGTATTTTTTCACCAAAAGTAGAATAAAAAAACCAACAAAAAATTATTTCTGGTTTGGATTCTCATCCTACACAGAAAGTCTATTGTTCCTTTATTTCAATTTTTTTTTGAAAGTTCTGTACTGCATTTTGACAAAACACTTTTTTAGATCCTTGTGGTAAATATGATTTGACACATGACACATCTACTGAATAAAGCAGTTTCTGCATCTCTATAAACAACACTGATCTCCTGATTTATGCATCTTAGATTGAATGCTGCATACTTGTTTGTCTTTCCACTAATGTCACCAGACACTGTGACTGACGTGTCTCACTGAGGATTAAAGCCGTCACTTTACTAACAGATATGGTAAGAACCTGTAACGTGTTTCCTGAGATTGATTTATAAAGATCGCTGGACCAGCTGCTGTGTTTGTGATATCAAATTATAATGTATATCATTGAGTCTGGCCTAAACAGTGGACAGAACAGCACATGCACTCTCATCTACACATTTTCAAAGTAACCCGCCAAAGAACCTTGAATTTAAATGTAGGTATCGGCAGCCCCATGAACAGAATCAGAAAAAACATCTATGTATTGGTACATTTACATGGTCTCCTTTGAAAGTTCATTTGCACAGCAAACAAAAGCTACCAGCTAAAAAAGAAAATTAAATGTAAGACATTTTCTTTAATCATATTTAACATTTTTAATTTCATTTCGTATCTACTATTTTAAAGGGATCCTTGTGACCTTCCAAAATATAAAAAATGATCAGTGTATGATAAATTAAGAAACACTGTAACAACACATGTTGTAGATACTGAAGTAGGAAGAACTCATCTGAATGGAATTAGCTCTTTTTGATGAAATTCTCAAAGAATATTAGGACAGCTGTTAACACAACAGCCAAGCAATCAAACACAAACAATCTTTAAAATAAAAAAAAAAGAGAAGATCAAACTTCTGAAGACTACTGATTGGCTGCTTCACAGGCGTCTATCCAATCACTGTATACATCCACTGGCTCTGAAAGATCTAAAAAATAAAAATAGAGAATGGATTAAAGATGAACATTCATAATGCTTCAGAATGACATTTACATTTATGTAGAATATGTTACAACTTAGAATAACCAACAACTAGGTTATTTTAGAAAAAAACTGAGGCTGTTTTGACAGACAACCTGTTCCTACAATGCTATGATTTCTTTGTCAGGTTTTCCATGTTATGAACTGTATGTATTGCAGCTGTATGGCCAGGACAGTGATGAAGTAATGAGTTCGTACATGTAATCGGTGTCTGAAACTCCTCCAAACACACGGTGCAGGATATTATCCCAGTGTTTCTGCTTCTTTCCCTGTTGAAAAACACAGAGCAAAATGGCGATCATCAGAACAGGGGCTTATGTGAAACTGAAAATTGATGTTGGGTCTCAGGTTATTTAGTTTATTACATTTTTACGTCGCATGCCTTCTCGTGGTTGCAGAATGGGCACGTGAACTGAGTATCCAGATCTCCGGTCATCTTCTTCTTTGGAGGCGGCTTTCTTTTGGACTTTCGACGACCCATTGCACACAAGCGAAATCAATAATCTGTTTGAGTAAAAAAATGAAACAATTTTAAACAACAGATGGTGAATGTTGTTAAAGAGTAAACATTGGTGGTGGCAGTTGATTAGAAGCACGTCTATAGTTTACCATATTTCAAAAAAAGTTAGCATGCTAATTTAGCATGTTTGTTAAGTCCTACTTTAACATTGAAGGCCTCGTGATGAGGAAACCGCAAGTGTAATCGCTCCTGGTTAATATCGCCGACTGAATACTGTTGTGGAATATTCGACGTATAATAAGATAAAGTACCTGTTTGTTTGTTGTTTACCTTTGGCTGTAGAAACACGCTGCAACAATAACGACGACTAGGACATTACTAGACCCGGCACCGGCAACTGTCCCACTTCATTTATTGGAGGAAAGTGGTGCTCCAACCATTGGCTGTTAGACATGTCAGTCATCATGTTTTACTGTGACGGCATTACAGCTAGACGCAGCCTGCTCCCGCGTGGTGGCGTCAGGATCTAGACGACAAGTGGAGTTCAGGTTTGGTGTCGAGTTTTATTAAGTTTCCGTTTTGTCTCTCTCAAATATGAAATACCAAATTGTATGAAATGTTTTTAAAAAAAGTTGTTAAAAGGTTTTGAGCGACCCTTCGTCCGTGTGCTAAATGTATTGTCACTGACAAGAAAAGAAAATGTAAAATACACAGATCGAAAAAAGCGAAGCCCTGCTAACAGAACAAGACACCCTGAATGCACCCTGAATGCGTCCACAGGTGATTAAATATTTGCTATATTTAGAAAAGTTATTTTGCTTTGAGAAAAAATATACTTTTTTACAAATATGATAAAAAAAAAACAAGCCAGGTTTAATATTAGTTGTTAGTTGAGCACCATATTGGATTATTATGTCACTAATAAGTAAAAGTCATAAAGACGTCTAAAATGGCGGCCCTGGAAGTTCTTCTTTGTCAGACTCAATCGACTGGTCTCTTGGAATGACTCCTGCTCCTCTGCTCCTAAAATCTTTTGTTTTCTACTTTTGCAGGTGTAAACTTATTTAAGCTTCTTGACAATATTTCCTGTCAATTAGAAGCCATGATGACTTCTCTGTACAGCTTAATATAAAGTGATATTCTACAATTATTCTCATTACAAAAATTGTTTTAACTTTACATTTTTTACAATGTTCTTGTTAGTGTGAGACAAGTCAAAAATATGTCAGTTAAAAGTTGTTTGACGATGTAAGTACTGGAGTTACGGTTAAACATTCTTCTACTAATTGATTTGCAGATGTAAGTGATGTGGACAGTGAAGGTAGTTGGCCTTGGGCTTGTTGCGCTCTCTCTGAGTTTGGAGGTGCTAGTCTGGGTTGTCCGTCGCCGTAGGCCTAAAAATATCCTCAATGAAGTCCTGTTCTTCCCTTCAGAAATAACATGCACGGAGGCCATCTTTACTCCATCACTCCAGTAAGTAAAATGGAATCGCACTTTTGTAAATATGATGACTAGCAGTGTATTAATGAATTAGCATTAATTACGGTTGTATTTATTGTCAAAAACAATTGCATGATTGGTCTTATAACATCAACAACTATAACATCAGCCCTTCTTTGCTGTGTTGGATTTTTAAATTGTCCCCCCCCCCCACCTCAATTCTTTAGCTCCTGCTTATGCACGTTGCCTCATGGGGTAGAAACGTCTTTCTCCCGACTTCTCTGCCACATCCTTTCGACTTCCTCCTCCCTGGACCTGTGTGTTTTTGCTTTTTCAAACATGGATTTGTGCAGGGCTGTATTAGCTCTTCACAACAGGGGTGTGGTCGTCCGAATCCTGACTGACAAGGATTATGCTGCCATCACTGGTTCTCAGATAGGGGTCCTTCGTAAAGCTGGTACGGCTGACGTTACATCAAAAACTCCAAGTTAAAAAAAAATGCCATCACTGTGTAGAACAAATAATTATTAGAAAAATGATACCAACCAGTACATGTGGTTAGCAAGAAATGCAGTATGTATATATGTCTAGTTTTTGGTATAAATAATTCAGCAACAATGAACCAAAGTTTAATGAAACCTTCTTTACTATTGTTTGCTCTCCAGGAATTTGTGTGCGGTGTGGCGTGAAAACTGTGTATATGCATCACAAGTTTGTGGTGATTGACGGTCGGCTCCTCATCAATGGCTCCCTCAACTGGACAGTGACAGCAGTACAAAGCAACATGGAGAATGTCCTTATCACCGAAGTGCCTAAGCTGGTGCAACCCTTTATCAAGGAGTTTCACAGATTATGGGAGCAAAGTGATCCATCTGCATATCTCAGATCAGGTGACCAAAACCCTGCACAAAACAGGAATGATGTAGCTTTGTTTAGTTAAGATATTTTTTTGTGTTGTCAAAAATGTAACTTTCATTACATATAAATCCCCTCCGTGGGCCTTAGGTGGTTTTAAGTTCTTTGAAAGCTTGAAATTTGAAAGCTGTGATTTGTGATTGCTCTAAACGAAGTCTTGTTTCTATTCAACAAGCTGATTGCTGATTTTTTTTTAATTTGTTTTTTGCAGCATTTCATTACTTTTATTCAAATTTCACATTTTATCTACTGCTCATTATCACAGTTTGCCCATGCAGTTTTGTCATTTGTTTACCTTTGAGGTCAGGGAATGTGTTAACTTGTTAGTATGGATTTTTGACTTTAAAATAAAATCTACAAAAAAAATGTAGTTGTGGTTTCAGGTGAACAATGTCAACACAACAAAATAAATCAAATTTAGATTGAACATTCAATTTTGGTCAATCGCACACAATGAAATGAACACACTCTCCTACTTTTATCCAATAAACTGGGAATTTCCCAAAGGGAACTCTAGGGATTAATAAAGTGCTATCCGTCTATCTATCTAACTAACCATTTGTCTTATAGCTTTGACAAGATGAGGATCAAATTTTACTGAAAAAACACTAATTTGAAAGGTTAGTCAAGACAGTAAATATTAGTTCCCGTACACATTACATGCATTGGAGAATGACACCGACCACATCTTTGTCTTGGTGGGTTGAGCTAACACTGCTGTCCTTGCTTCCTGGGAGATTTTGAAATCGCTCACTGCTCCTGAGGAATGGGATGATGGGTTTAATCTAGATTAATATTTGTGGATGCATCAGGACATTTATGCAGAGCAGAACTTATACAAATAAAACTGGTGACGGTAAGTAGATAATGACAAAATGCAGTATTTTAGAATGTGACGCTCGGTTAATGCAAGTCTTTGATTTTCAGTGCTTTTGTGAGCGGCGCCTGTTGCAGTTTTCCATGAACAAAAACAGAAACGGAAACCTGTATAGGGCATGAGGATAGCTTTTATTTACTTTTGTTTTGCTGCCCTCCTGTGGATGTCTTCTGAAAATGCATCTTTGTGACACATCTTACTTTCAACATTTTGTCTTCATCCGGTAGCGTTAATGTTGCTCTTAAGGTGTAAATGATCATTATTTTGATTTTAAGGGACATTAAGTTCTTTCTGAAACTAAATATTTTTTTGGAAACTGTTTTATCGACAGGATTTGATGTTCTTCATTGAGTTAATAGACCCACACTTAGTTATCTGTAACTTATATGGTTTAAATGGGTTAATTATTGTATTAATGGCTCATCACTATGACCATGGCCTTGCCGGAAAGTTCCATTGTCATAAAGATTTTATTTTCGACTTTGGACACCAGGATATGTTACCTGCTGTAAAAGCACAGTGTGTGTTTGTGTGTGTGTGTGTGTGTATTTGTACATCTGTGTGAAGATAAAGGGGCCTTCCAGTGCTTCGTTGGACTCACACTCCAACTGACCAGACCGTAGACTGACATCGTCGCAGAACAGGTATGAGCTTCATTGTTTTTATAATAATAATAGTAATTGAAAATAAAGTAAAAAAAAAAATCAACATTAATATAGTTTAGTTACTATAATTAGTATAGTGATTGAAATGACTAAATTCCTTAATATAAGTTTAATCCAAATCTAATTACATCAAAATTGTTGCACTTTTTCCAATTATTTTATACAGTGTTGGTCTTTATGATTATTTGTACGTAGAGGTGAATGTAAACAGTAGTTGTCAGGTTTTTCATTTTGTGTGAGTGCTTGATCGTGGCTCTCCAGTGTACCTATGTGTAGACAGACTGTTTGTGATGTCATTGACCATGATCAGTCAATGCCTGTGATTTCATTTTATATGTTTATTTATTTTTCAACTCTGATGTGTGGCCCTTTGGCCCAGAGTCAATGGTTCACCTCCTGGGCAAGTTTGAATCCCAGTTAGGGCGGTTGGTACCTTCCAGTGGACTCACCACCTGCAGGAAGGTTTAGGGGGTGTTGGTACAGTGCAGTGTGATTTGGGTGATGGTCCTGGGGACTGCTGCCCCCGCGACCCGCTAACGGATAAGCGGATGAAAATGGATAGATGGAACGCTGATGTCTGTTAACTCCAGCTGTGTGTTCAGTTATTGTCCATGTGAATGAGGGTTAACTGTGTTCTGTTAAGTAAATAAATGTAAAAAGTAATTAACAATTAATGAGTAAATGTAACAATGTAACTGCTTAAATGAGGTCATTTTTAGTGTTTAGAAAAACAGCATGTGACTCTCCTGATCATTTTATGGCTTGCTGGGAACATGACAGGTTTGCCAGTATCTGTTCATGTCAGAAGTTGCAATAAGGAAGAGACAACAAATCAATAACTATAGGAGTGAGTCATAGAGTGTGTGTGTGTGTGTGTGTGTGTGTGTGTGAGGAGTCATTAATCTTCAACTACAGAACCTCAAACTTAAAAATGACTGACCTGATAACACTGAACATGGTACTGTATGCTGAAAGTATGGAGCTCCAACAAATGTATTAATTAATGTTATATAAAAGGTTAATTAAATACACATTTTAAATACAGAGGGCATGAAAAGACAATGTGTTTTACACATTACGAAACCCTTGTCTGAAATCAGAATCAAACACATACAGACAGAGCTCCATTCTCTTCTCCTGCTGTAGTTAATGTGTAACTAAAGCAAATGCCATTCAACCCTGGCTGTTGACTGTTAGAGCAGCTTAGCACTCGTTTTGTTTCTGTGAACCAAAGTGTCCCATTTACACAGGTTTTCTGCTGAGGTAAACACTCTTCATTTTTTTTTATAACAGTGAATCATCAAAAAGCCAAGATGTGTTGCTCCGGTTTTCTTAAGATAATGATGTTCATCTTCAACGGAGGCATCTTTGTAAGTAAACAAATGACTGTACAGTAGAGACAAACACACAACAGAGTCAATGTTGAACTGGTTCGAAATCATTTTAATTTGTAATTCATACTTCAACCCAGGGGCAGATAGGGGATTTGCCCCTAACC